TTACTTTATATAGTCTTTATTACTTAATATAATTAAAAATCTTAGCTATAAGCTAAAGTTCTTGTTATTAGTAAATAATCTATTTATAAAAATAAATAGCTTTATGTAGTCTAGCTATAGTAGTATAAAAGTAAGTCTTTTACTGCTGTTATCTTGTTAGATATGCGCACCTACTGTCAAGACAGGAGGAACGCTGGACGAAAGCTGCTACATAGTACGAGCAATAAGCTCGAACAGTATGTTGCTGCAAATTGCAGCATGTTGCAGCAAATTGCAGCATGTTGCAGCATTTTGCAATATTCTGCAACAAATTGCAGCATGTTGCAGCATTTTGCAACAAATTGCAGCATGTTGCAGCGTTTTGCAACAAATTGCAGCATGTTGCAGCATTCTGCAACAAATTGCAGCATGTTGCAAGCTGGTCGCGCATAGGGCTAGTGCGCGAAGGACTCGGACCGGAAAAACAAAAGCCGAGCAACACGAGCAGAGCAGAAAAAGGATCGAATAAACAATACAATCAATCATCATCCCATACATCATATCCAAACCCATCATTCATCTCAGGAAGCCTAGAAACAGTGCTTTAATCTAACATATCTATCTACTACTAAATATATACATTAAGAGCTTTAATATCTTTATGTAAAAAATCTATAGTTTAAGTAGTAACTAAGAGATTAAATGCTGCCTCTAGTTAACACACTAAGGTAATATATACTTCTTTAGCCCTTTATGCAACATACTATTGTGCAACATCCTCTACTGTAGCATTAATTATATAAAAGTCTTTTACTTAACTTTTTTAAATAAGAGTAACTTTATTCTATATAAGCTAGATCTTCTTTTTATTAAATTTAATAAGCTAGTTTTTAGATAGTATAGTCTTGCCTTTTACATAGAGATTTGCTTTTTATAGTTTATTCTTCTCTCTTTATGCAACGTTCTTTGTTATAATGCTTAAAGTATTATTTATTTATAAGCTAGTTATACTAAAAGTCTGCTCTTTTTTATCTATAATTAAAAGGTAAAGGTTGTATAAAAAGATGTGCATGTGTAGCTTTTTGTTATAGTAGTTATAGTATGTTTTAAACTAATATAAGACAAATGTGTTGTCTAGTAGAAAAACGCTTATAAGACTGTAAGGCTTAGTAAGGCTAAGTATAATAGTTATGCAGCACAGCTATAAAGCTTAGTAAAGGCTAAGTATAATAGCTAAACAAAACAATAGTAGTGTCTGTAAGACTAGGTAAAGCTAAGAGCTATAAGAGTAACAGGCGTAGCTATGTATATAAGACTATGTTTAATTAACCTTTAAAAAGTATAACGTACTTCATGGGCGAGTCGCTCACACACCCGAGTCGCTCACTTTTGCTAAGACCCCACCCTAACAAACTCTATTATAGCCTATAACAACCCGCTCTAGCACTATATAGTACAGTACAGCCTAGAATATTATTTAGATACTACTTCTGCTTCTTGCTTACACGTTTGCGTGTTATGCCTAGTCTAATTGCACTGTCTGTAGCGCCTTTAGGATAGCTTACCTACTTTAGCTTACACCTGCTTCTTTGCTTTTTTCCTGTTACTGCGCGCTCTAAACTCCTTTAGAGCTGTTAAGCATAGGCTTTTTTAAATTATTAAGGTTTTTTCTACCTTAATTTACTTTTTTTTATGCAATTTACATTATATAGTAGCCTTATTAGCTGCTTAAAGCTTAGTAATTTCTTATTATGCTAACACTAGCTTATGCGTAATTATTACTGCTTTTTTTAAAACCTTTTTAAACACCTTAACTATAAAAGTTAGTAAACTATTTATATGCTTCTAAATTTTTATTTTTATAAGCATTAATTATAACCTAAGTTTTAAAGTATTACTTAGGGTTTACAACTACTAGAGCTTGTTATATATAGGTAGTAGTAGTAATAAAGTGCGTAACTTTACATTAAGGCTTATTATAACTTATTATAGGTTAAAAGAAACTAATTTAGCGCTTTAAAACTTTTCTTAGATATTACTAGAAGTAATTATAGCATTATAAGCTACTTTAAAGCATAGTAAAAACTTTATTTTTATAATATAAGTAATCTAGTTGTGTATAAGGTTTTTAGCTTAGCACTTATACACTTTTTTTAAAAAAGTAAAACAACCTACATTAAGTAGCTATAAAAAGTGTAATAAGTAAAAAAGTATATAAATAGTAATAATCTTATTATCTTTATAGTATTACTAAAAATAAAGTAAGTTATAGCTTTTATAGCTGTTAATAACTAGTAGACAGTAGCTGCTAACAGTACACTTCTTTATATACACATTAAAGTGCTTTAACTAGTCTAGACTAAGCTAATTAGTAGTCTAGCTGCGCTTAGAGATTATAATAACTTAATTTTAAAGTAGATTTTTCTTCTTATACTAGTTTAAAAAGTAGTTGCTACTTTAAAAGATAATAAAAAGTAGAATAGCTTACTTTTTAGCATTAATGCCCTAGATAGCTGTTGTCTACTTCTAGTTGCCTAGCTAGACTGCTTTTAGCTGTCCTTATCTCTTTAAACTTATAATAACTACTCTAGTAAATATCTAGCCTATTATAAACTTTATTTTGTTAAAGTTGTACATGTTATTATTCTAGATGCTATACTTAGCTTTAATATTCTTTATAAAGTTAAACTAGCTTTAAATTACTATAAAATTTTTATAAAAAGCTTTTTTATAGTTATACTTACACTTAAACTTTACTTTAAGCTTTAGGTAACACTTAATAAACATATTAAGCTAGTTTATGCTAATATAGCCTATATTATGCTTAGCATGTAAAGAATTAGCTATATTAGCTATAGCTACTAGCTAGAGGGGAAATCCTTGCGTATTTAGCTTAAGTATGTGCTAAATAATTACCTACTTTTTATTATTATTTAGCTTTTATAAGTTAGCTATATAATTAGCTTAAAAAAGTTGTCTAGCGCGTTAGTTACTTATTATCTTTTAAGAGACCTTATAGATAGCTGTAGCATGTTAGTTAAAAAGTGTTATGTCTTATTTAAAAGCCTAAAGTGTAAGCTACATCTAATGTTCCTTTAACATGTTTAAGTAGTGTTGTTAGGAATGCATTAGTGTAAAAAAAGTAGTGTAGTAGGGTCTTAGCAAAAGTAAGCAACTTAGGTGTGTGAGCAACTTGCCTATAAAGTACGTTAATTAAAGTTTAGTTTATCTTTAAATAGACTAAGTAGCATTCTAGCTTTTTAATAAGCTATAATACTAGTTATATATCTTGCACTATATATACCTCTACTTCTGTCCTTAGGACTGTTTGACCCAGCGCCTATACTGCTGTCTAAGGGGCAAACCACAATTCAGCCAATCATTCCCCCTCCTCCTTTCCGGGGCCATACCAAGGACCGTACACCCAAGGCAGGTCCCATCTATCACTCTCTTAACCCAACTCCGGCCCGCGTGCTCGAGGCATCCCTAAAACAGGGACCCCTGCGAGCAAGAATTGTAACAATAAAGTAATAGAGAAATAGCGTTACTAGGGTTTATCTAAAGAGATTCTAACTAACTAGCGCGTATAAAAGAGGAGATTCTGCTTAACCTTTTGTTCTGCTTACCTAAATATAATAAGCAGAGCAAGCTCTGCTAAAAATGTACTAGGCTAGTTTATGCTAATATAGCCTAGATTATGCTTAGCGTGTAAATAATTAGCTACATTAGCTATAGCTACTAGCTAAGAGGAAAATCCTTGTGTATATAGCTAAAGTATATGCTTAATAATTGCCACTTTTTATTATTACCTAGCTTTTATAAGTTAGCTATAGAATTAGCTTATAAACGTTATCTAGTATGTTAGTTATTAATTATTTTTTAAAAAACCTTGTATATAGCTGCAGCATGTTACTTTAAAAGTGTTACATCTTATTTAAAGCCTAAAGTATAAGCTGTATCTAATGTTCTTTTAGCGCGTTTAAGTAGTGTTATTAGGAATGCATTAGTGTAAAAAGAGTAGTTTAGTAAAGTCTTAGTAAAAGTAAGTAACTTAGGTGTGTAAGCAACTTTCCTGTAGAGTGTGCTATGTTTTTTTTTAAATTTATATGCTATTTTTTTTAGCATCCTGTGGGCAACTCAAGGCACTGTGGGATCGACACTCCGGCAACTTTCAGAGAAAGTCTATTCTGAGCCGAAGGCTGCGTCCCTGACTTTTCAGGCAACCAGCAGCAGGGTGTCCTCGGTCGGCGACTATGAGGGAGCGAAGAAATGACAACGAAAGACCGAAATCAACACGGCTGCCCCCCCTCGGCCCGGAGCGCAAGAGCAATTATCCAAAGCAACGAACTGCATTGTCCTCCGCGTGGGGAAAGTGGTAGCACAATAAATCCTACCTGGAGAGATCTGCCGATAATGGGAAGGCAATGCAGGAGCAAAGTTCAATCCCGACAACATCGTTCTCCTTCGCGGCTGAATCCTTTAGGATTCTATAGATTATTATTTAAGATTTGTTGGAAAAAAACGGTATCGACTACTTAATAAAAGAAGTGCGGCGAGGTAAAACTCGGCTACAAAATCAACTCTCGGCATAAGCTCTGTGCGACGGGAGAAATGAAGTAGTCGGACCCGCACAACACCATGTACACCTAGAGGCCTAAAAGTTGACCGGCCTATCTTTGGTGTGGCCTCAGACTGCTCAAAGTATCCGTTAAGGAGTCGCTCTAGCGTTGTCTATGTTCGTTCCCGGGCGTCCCCCTTGCGAGAGCCTGAGGTACTTGTGGTGTGTTGATTCGGAACTTACGCTTATAGGAATACTAAGGAGGCATCGCCCCACTTCGGGTGTTGGATCACAGTAAGCTGAATATTGGCCACGAATCACGAAACCAATATGTTTGAGCGATTTGATGAAAGAGGAAAGAGAAGGATTCCAAGACCATGGTAGTTAACGGCGTAAGGAAGTCCGGCGCCGGACGGCCATGAAGGAAGCGAGCGCGGTGCGATTTCATCGAGAGTGCGGGTCATCTATAACCACCCAGGCACCAAACCCTTCCTGAGGATTTCTACGGTCTCCTGGAACCCAGCATTCTCACTATGGCGCCTCACGAAGTGGGCCCATTTCATACAGTCAGCAATGGGACCGGGAGCAGCGACATTACCTCTCGTAGCTTAAAAGTGCGAAAGTCTCATATCAAGACTCCATTCGATGTCATCAGCTCTACCATCACTTTCCGAAACTCAGATCACCAATTCTGGTGGGAAAAGACAGGCTCTCAATTCGCCACCCTGCTCCAACACGCCGGTTACGCCAAATCAGACCAATATAACGAGTTACTATTCTACGCTCTCCACGTCGTCCCCGAGCTCGGACCCATACCAGATGCAAACGGCGACCTTCGTTGGCGCAGCCCGCAGACCCCTGATGGAACACCCCTTGATTTGAGCTGGGAATGGGGCCTCGATGGAAAAGGCGTTATTAGAACTTCCTTCGAGCCCATTGGTCCGCTCGCCGGGACGAAAGCCGACCCCTTCAACAGATACGAGACAGATGTTTGGATCCGGCATTTAGAGGAACAAGGACTAGTTGTTGGACTTGATCTGGCATGGTACAAACACTTCACCAATACTGTTCTACCGAGTGAGCTGGAACGAGTGAGAATGACGGAGGAGTTGAACTTTCAGCTTGCTCCAGTTGCCGGGACATTCGTGACTCGCGATGTTGACTTAATCAAGGGACCCATTATCAAGATGTATATCTTTCCAGGTCTAAGGGCACAAGAGCTCGGCGTGTCGGGGTTGGAAATTGTGACGAGGGCGATACATGGCCTACCAGCTGCACAGTACAAGTCTCTACAGCCCAAGCCTATGTTGGACTATCTCCAAGAGGCGGCGAAAAAGTGGAGCATGGACGTCGGCATATTCTCTTTCGATCTAGTATCCCCAGAGAAGTCGCGCATCAAGATTTACACACGCGCACCGCATACGAGTATTGCGTATCTCATGGATGCGCTAACCCTTGGTGGCCGGTATGATCTGTCGATGTACAGCGCCGATGCGATCACGGATCTCAAAGACTTTTGGAAGATCTTCATCGGTGATGCACCGGAGGTTCTATCCAAAACGGGAGTGGAACGTGCAGGCCCAGGATTTTACTTCACGGTGAAGGCGGGTAAGCCAGCAACACCAAAGGTGTACATTTCGCCCGCCTCCTTTTGCAAGAATGATGCCGAGGTGATTGGGCGAATGAGGAAATTCTTCGAGACGAGGCGCAACACGGGGAAGATGTTGGTACAAATGGACAACTACGAACAGGCTCTTAAGAGCATATAGTAAGTTCTCGCGTTTTTAGTTGTTTGATTATGGGCCAACGATGGTAACCCAACCAGCGGAACCGAGTTCCTCCAGAGTCAGCGCGACATTCACTTCTACGTTAGCTGTGCACTAGACAAGGACCAACTCAGAGTTGTTACGTATTTGTGTCCGCAGACACTGTCTCGAGAAATCTCGGCAAAGAAACGACACATCGAGCTGGACAAGGGAGATAGTGATCAAAATAAGAAAAGAACCCGCCTGGCTCAGTAGACGCTGCTGGAAATCACTGTACCTTCAAAGTTTTGGAGGTCTTTGCATGGCTTCTACAGACAACCGCTGTCAATTACAGATTTTTGAAGGCAATTTGGCGCGTAAAAAAAATGAGATGCATCATAGCCGTTCACGACGCCGGCCTACCTGCGCCCTGCATATCATGTTCTTTCTCATGTGTAGTTCGAAGTGTGGTACAGTTGAGCATGGGAGCCTCGGGGTCAAGAATGGGATTGGCTTCCTTTCCACGCCCAACCAGCAGGCCATGAGCCACCCGATCTGAATTTGCCCTCCCTCCGATCACTGACACCTCTTCCACTCACCATACACCTCGTAAATACCCTTGCGGAAGTCATTCTTGAGTCGTGTAATTGCTGCGACATCCGGGGGCATCTTGAGCTGTGGAGCCCCAAGCGCACATATTCCATTCTTGCGGTCGATGAACCAGGTTAGATTGATTCCCCCTCCCCAGGCCAAGGTATGTGCGCCGTGATATCCGGGTAAGTCTTCCATGACCAACAAACCCGCGAGGCCGTGGTTGCGCTTAACGTCTGGTCCAGTTCCCTGGGCATAGAAGGCATTCGTCGCCGGGGCAGCCATAATCTCTTGCATGCTCTTCTCGGCTTCTGGGGTTAGATGTGGCTGGAATATTCTATCCACGGTCTCTGGCTTGAGCAATTTGCCGTCGTTGGCGAGCAGAGAGAACATAACTTTCATATAGTCTTCCCCGGACATGAACAGTCCGTGGCCTCCAAAGTTGTCGGTCGCGACCCCGTGAGAGTCCATGCCGCCAGAAACGGCAAGTCCGCGGCCTTCCGGATCACTAGCGTTGAGATTGACCATCTTGGCTTTCATTTCTTCGTGAGTAACAGGGAAGAAGGTCGCGTCTTTGATGGCGAGCGGAGAAAAGATCCGGTGTTGCATGAAGTCATTAAGGCTCCTCCCGCTAACACGCTCGATGAGCTTGCCGGCCCAGTCGTAACTGGCCCCGTACGACCAGCACTCTCCGGGCTGATAGATGAGCGGATAGCCAACTTTTGTCTCCACGGTCGTCCGTTCCGAAGGTGGTGGGCCATTAACAGCCTGCCATTTCCCGAGTTTGGGGTCCAAGAAAGCGTAGCCGATTCCTGAGCTGTGGGTGAGAAGGTGCTCGAGAGTTATAGGGCTGGCTTGGGGCTCGTATACGAATTGATCACCATCAAGACTGGTGATGACTTGCTTGCCCGCCAGTGCTGGTGCGATGGGCATAACGTCGGCGGACAGTGATAGGAGCCCATCATCAACGCACTGCAAGGCGGCAATCGCAGTCATGAGCTTGGTAGCCGAGGCGACTGCTAGAATGTCGGATGGCTCGTGTGCCTTGCGCTCGCCGGACAGCAGCGTGCGCTCCCCGAAAGTCTTTGCGTACTTGAATTTACCGGAGACATCGCGAGCAAAAAGGACCGCACCATCAATTTCGCCTTTGTCGACAGCGGCTTGGTAGATCGATTCGAAGGAAGCCATTTTGGAAACTTTCACCTTTGGGCTGTTATTTGTGACAATGACTTGAGGCAAAGCTTGTAAACAGCGGTCGGGCTCTATATCAACTACCACGCTGCGATGAGCGCCCTTCGGCCGCCCTTGGACTGCGGCCTCAACACTGCCTATTCAAGTCTAGCGCTGACATGATCAACAAACCTTAGAATAATTTTAACTTACAAGTCACCGCCCTACAGATAATTTTACGCTAATACTATTTTAGATTATATAAAACTTCTAAAGTCTTCTAGGCTAATTAAGAGCTAACAACTAGTAATATATAACATTATTAATAGAGTGTCTAGCCTTAAATAAAGTAAGTTTGTATATCTTAGCTTATAAATTTATTAATTATGCAATAGCACTAACGTACTTCACAGGCGAGTTGCTCACACACCTAAGTCGCTTACTTTTGCCAAGACCCTACTAAACCACCCTTCCTACACTAATGCATTCCCCACAACACTACTTAGACGCGCTAAAAGAATGTTAGATACAGCTTACACTCTAAGCTTTTAAACAAGACATAAAACTCTTAAAGAAATGTGCTGTAGCTATATATAAGGTCTTATAAAAAA